CACTTTTTCCCTAATTTGTAAAATAATTTTACAAAATTTTATATCAATTTTTTCTGCGTGTATCTAAAATTTAAACTAAAATTTATTTTTCAATCAATTTTTATTAGAAAATTCTAAGAAAATTCAATTAATTAAATACAAAAGTAAATTATTTATTGAATAATTTAATGTCTCTTAAAATTAAATTCTTTTACATACTTTTATCAACAAATGTTTAAATAATTCAATTCTTTTGACAAATTTTAATAAAATTTTTTAAAATAGTTACATTTTTCAAAGGAATTTGATTAAAATTGTATTAGAAATAATTGAAATTCTGCTGTGAGTCTTATTATTTCTGAAAATTATTGAATTATTCAGAAGAAACATAAAAAATTTGCAAACATTTGAATTCCTGTGAAATTTTTATTATTTTCGAAAATAATTAAATATTTGGGTACTATTTTATTAAGATTGTTTTTAAACAATTGAATTTTTTCAGATAATTTTATTAAAATAGTAGATATTAAAAATCATTGAAATGAGGAAAATTTATGAAAATAATTGAAATTTTGACAAAAATTTTATTAAAATTTTTGAAAATAATTGAATTTTGATGAAGAATTTTTTTATTTATAAACATAATAGTTGGGATTTTGTCTAGATTTTTTTGTAAATTTTGAACACAATTGAATTTTGTGATAAGAATTTTATTACTTTTGAAAATAATTGAATTTCTGCAATTTTAATTTTTTTAAATTTAATTTTAATTTAATTTTTTTTTAATTTTAATTTCTGTAACTTCTTCAAAATTCAATTTTTTTACTGTTTTGAACTAAAATTCTTCTATAAATTCAATATTTTTAATAATTATTAATTAAATATATATTGACAAATCTAACTAATTTTAGAAGATTTTAAATTGTTATAAATTTTTCAAAAATCGAAGTTCATTAAAATTTCTAATTAAATTCATTGATCATTGAAATTTTGTAAAATATCAAATTGAAACCGTTTGAAGTTTATTTATTTTATGAAAATTGTAAACGCACCTTCTTTAAAATTGAATTAATTTTGAAATATTTAAGTAAAATTATTCATTAAATAATTTATTTATTTTATGATAGTTGTTCAAGATTTAAGTTATTTAAAAAGAAATTTTTGTCAGACATTAAAAAAATTGAAGGTTTTGTATTAGAATTTGTATAGTAATTTTATAGTTTATGAGTCAAAGAAAAAAGACACAAAAATTCAGAATTTTTATATGAATTTGAATAGTACTTAATATAAATTTGTCTGACCAAAGCTTGTCTTTACTACTGATTGTACAAATAATGAGAGATTAATTCAAATGTGTCTGACTAAAATTTACTATTACTACTAAAAATGAAAGTGAAGAAACTTCAGTTAAATTTGACTAAAATTTATCTTTACTACACTGATTGTACAATTAATAAGAAATTAATTAAAATTTGCCTGATTAAAAGTTTACTATTGCTACTGGAAATTTAATTATTATTATATTATAATTACGCGTCGAAGATTAGTAAATAATATTATTAATGATAATAATTACGTAAATATAATAATAATATATAATACAGAAAAATTAGTTTACATTTGACTCACCACAATTACCTGTTACTATTCACAATTTAATTTGAAGAAATTTACTTTTAATAAATGTCTGATAAATGTTATTTATCTTTACTACTGATAATTAAAGAAGTAAAATTAATTTAGAGTCGTCTGACCAAAACTGTCTTAATCTACTGCATCTCTAAAAATTTTGATTATTGACAAAATTTAAACTCTTGTTCGACTAAAATTTACCCTCACTACTGCAAATTAAATAAAAATTTATTCACACCAGAGCAAAATTTACTTCTTCTACTAGAACATTAATAAAAAAATTCCCAATTTTCCCCAAGTAAGACTTGACCAAACCAAAAAGAAAAAAATAACAAAATGTACAAAATCACTATTTTCTCGTCTAGAACAAGAAATGTTTACATTCCCCAAATATTTTCGTGGAATTTTTTGTAAATATTTGAGTGCAACATTGTGGGTTGGTAATCAGTTATAACTAACCAATCAGAATGATCAATAACGCACTGCTAATTACCCACAGGAACTGACTCGAAATCGGAGCTTTGTCCTGCTTTACCAAATAAATTGATTTCATCAGTTGAATAACTGGTTACCTTATTTGCTCTTTAATTACTGGTTCGTGTTTATGTCTCGTTTAAATTGACAACAATTAATTAAGATTATTGATTATCTATGATTAATTAATTATTCCATCAAATTTAATTAATCTACATATCAGTTGTAATTAATTTTATCGAATTATCCTGTCGTTATATACAGATTTCTAAAATTAAACATAATACATGTATAATAGAAATTTTATTGCATATATATATATATTGAAATAGTCATTTACTTATAGACCAATCGATATTCAAGTGGAATAGAGAGAAAAAATATAATATCATAAATTTATTAACGATAATAATAATAATTGTATTAACGATAGTAATTAATTACATTTATTGATTTTAATTTTATTTAAAATTTGATTTAGAACTTATATTTGATAATTTAAATTAATATTTAGTAATTTAATAAATCTAATAATTTAATTCATATGGAATATTTTAATTAATTAATTAATATTTATTAATGTAATTAAGAATTTAATTAATTACAATTTTGAATAATTGATTTTTATATTTGTCTACACTGAAGAAAAAATTTATTTGTATGAAATAATTTTTGTTCAAGTTAATTAAATTAGTATATTTTCCTGAAGTGCTTGAATTATTGGTTCAAATACAATTCTTTTGATTTAAATAAAAATTATTTAATTCGAGTAAATATTTATTTGATTATTCTTTATTATTTTTTTTTTTGGAAAGTATATTTAGCAAGTAATCTTTTATTTGAATTAAATAATTTTTTTTCGAAGTACACTTACAATTTTTTCCCTTATTTTAAAAGAAAAAAATTTGGAAAAATTTCGTAAAATAACCGTATGTTTAGGCCTTTTATTGAAAAATGATAAAAAAAAGGACGATTTTAAAAAAAGGAAATATTTTATTTATATAAGAATATTTAAAAAAAAATTTTTGCTATCATTCAATGTGTACTTGATATAATGCACTTTACATTATTTCATGGTTCATGAATTTCATGAATAAATTTTAAGAAAAGAGGGAATATATACATGTATATAGTATATGTATATATCAGATTTTAAAGTTTCCTTTTTATCTTTTAACCTACTTTAAGTTTAAAACCTAATTGTACTGCTGAGAAGGAAAAAGAAGTTCACTGTAACTGAGAAGATTAATATGTGAGGTTGAAGTCAAAACTTTTCCAACTTGAAAAGATAAAATTGTTTTCAAATAAGGTTAAAAGGATTATGAAGCAAGTGTAAAATTATCCTGAATACTACGAGAGATATAACTTTATTTTCAAAAAACACAAAGTTCCAATTTCATTATTGGATTAAATTTTCTATTTTTCATTATATAGAGGGATTATTAGTTTTTATTCAATTTTTAATTGGGGATGATTTTTATTTTTATAATCAAAGAAAAGATAATTTATATAATTCGAATAAATAATTATTTGTATCAAATAATATTTATTTATATATTTATCTACTACTTTATTTTATTATACTATTATATTATTATTATATTTTAGAAAAAATTCAATTTTTTTCAAAAATTTGAATAAAAATGTTTGAAAGAATTCAATTATCATGAAAAATGTTAGTAAAGTTATTATCGAGAGTAGAATTATTTTTATAAATAATAAGTCTTCAGAAGAATTCAATTATTTTCCATATACAATTTTAATACAAATTCTGAAAAGAAATTATTCGTTCAAATTGCAATATATTTTTTTAATTACAATACAATTTAAATAAATTATTAATAAATATTATAATAATTCAATTAAATATCTTGTTAATAAAAAATTTATTCGTTTATTTGAATCAAATAATTTTTTTCAGTATTATATAGTTCTTTTTAAATATAGTTATTTATATATAGTTAGTTATTATTTAGATATTATTTAGATATTTGTATCATAGCAGCATTTTTGCTTAGCTCTGGACCAATGATGATAAAATGATATATTTTATAGCTAAATTTGCATAAACGTTGTTTATCGCGTTTCCGAGTGAATCCTGTTGGCAACTATTGTTCATGGAAAGTTTGCAAGCCGCATCATAATCTGAACAGAGTGTGCACAACTAGCTGCAAGCACAATTTTAAGCTTCCGGCACGCCGCATGCACAGAATGCGCACATACGTATGCAGATATGCAGCTGCAATGTCATGCATTGCATGCCACTGTCGTTTCCAAATCGATCTCTAATCTTTTTTTTTCCTTTTTTCATTTATATCTATTTCTTTTCTCCATGCGGGCAGCAAAAAAAAAATTGCATTAAAAGCGTCTGAATTCTTTAAAGAAAAATGAAAAGAAAAAAAAATGCGCACTCTATAATCGAAAGCCAATAATTTCAAGTAAAGTCGGTCATGGAATAAATTTCACATTCAACATTTATCCAATATCTTCTAAGCTTTAAACTTGTATATTCAAATAGACTTGTATATTTTAAGTATTATAATCTTATATAATATTGGCGAATATTCTTTTGTTAGTCAAGTATTTCATTTAAATATTTAATATTTAAATATTTATTTAAATTACAAAAATTATTAAATATTAAAATATTGATTTAAATTCTTTAAATATTATTTTGAAATTATTTATTAATAAATTACTTTATATTAAATAAACAATTTAAATCACAGATTTTTTAAGGATATTGCAAATTGAGACAAAAAATGTATCAAAACGTTGTTTCGCAACTATTTTGATACATTTCTTGTCTCGATTTGAAATCCTTAGAAAGTCTGTGATAATAAAATGTTATTTGTGACATTATAATTTCTTGTCTCGAAGACACAAAAAAATTACAAAAATACTTTCTTTTTTAGGAATTGTTTAGTTGGAAAGGCATATCATGTAAAAATATCGGATTTTGGAACTGATAATGAACTATACGCTGGTGATTATTACAAAGTTGATGAAACTATTTCTCTACCTTTACGTTGGATGGCCTGGGAATCATTATCATTGGTAAGTACTTTTCTTTAATAAAAAAAATGAAGTTTTTCAGTCATGTAAATAATTTTAAATTTATTAAGTACTATAAATTTGAAATTTTAAATTATTTGAATTTATCCTGTAGATATATTTATGTCTGACTAAAACCAGACTACAAGAATGAAAAAAATTTTTAAACTTCTTTGTCTGACGAAAAACTGACTTATACTACTAGTATAGGACTTATTAAAAATTTTAACATTTATGTCTAACTAAAACCTGTTATTACTACTTGAGCGAAATAATTCTTTAAAATTATTTTGTCTGATGAAAAACTGACTTCTACCCCTAGTACAGGATTTATTAAAAAAAAAATTTATTTGTCTCTGCTATTGATAACGTGAAGTTTTAAATATTAAGTCTGACCGACATTTGTCATTACTACTTGAAATAATAATTATGTAAACTTGCTTTGAATTCAAATGGCCATCGGTTTTTTTGTATGCAAGATATCAACTTCCGGTTGGTACCAAAATACCACCTTTGCGCCCATGATGCTAACATAATTTTTTGTCCTAACTGCATGGAAAGTATGTCATTGAGGGCACGGACGATTAAACGCTCATATTAGTTAAAAATTAAACTCTATATAAATGTTAACTCTTTGAAGTCTATAATGATACAAGTTTTAATATAGAAATAAGAAAACAATGTATTTTGGAAATATAGTAATTGCCAATTTTTATAACTGAAATGTGAACAAAACCAAATGTGTCATAACTTTTTTTAGAGAAAATCGAAAAAAAATTACACATTTTTCTAGACAAAATAAAACAAGTTGAAAATGTTTGCATTTTTATAGTCAACATAAAAAGAAACTCGAAAATATCACATTTTAATGAAGAAAATCGAATAATTAACATGCGGGCGCAAAATACTCTTCCGCCTGCTCGAAGGTAGGGGAAGCGGGCGCAAAATATTTTGCGCCCGCTCGGAGGTAGAGGAAGCGGGCGCAAAATATTTTGCGCCTGCTTCCCCTACCCCTGGGTGGTAATGAGTTACTTTGCGCCTGCTCTAAGTGCCCGAAATTACATACTTTCCGTGCAGGTAGGACAAAAATATATTTGAGAACGATTTTTGAGATTTTAGAAATTTTAAATTTTCAACATGTAAATTTTTTTTTATTCAAATGGACATAGCTTTTTTTGCATGCAAGTTATCAACTTCCGGTTTGAACTAAAATGAAGCTTGACTCTTGGCCTAACTTTTGTCTCATTACGAGTAGTGGCTAGGAAAAATATTTGAGACTGTTTTTTATGATTTTAGAAATTTTAAATTTTCAACATTATTCAAACATTATTCAAAAATAAAGCTTGACTAATTCCCTAACTTTTATCTTCTTACGGGTCTTGGCTAGGAAATATATTTGAGAACGATTTTTGAGATTTTAGGAATTTTTTTTTCAAATTTAAACTTCTTTCAATTTAAGTGGCTATAAGTTTTCTTGTATGCAAGATATCAAGTTCTGATTGGTTCTGGTATTATTTATAAATTAGTAAAAATTACTATTCAGTGGTAAATTTTACTAATTTAATTGATTTTGAATAGAATATAATTTCATTAAATAAATTTTACTCAAAATATATGAAAAATAGCAAGTTAAGAAGTTGAAAGTTTAAAAATTACGAGTTAAAAATTGTAAGAAAGTATTAAATATATAAATAATTGGTAAAATGAGAAAAATAATTAATTGGATTTTTTTGTTTTTGAAAAATATAGGGTAAATATACAACGAAAAGCGACGTTTGGTCGTTCGCAGTGACTCTTTGGGAAATTCTAAATCTTGGAAGACGAGTTCCCTACGAGCATCTCACAGACCAAGAATTAATGCAATGTTTAAAGCAATTGCATTGCAATAGCAGCAGCGATTCAACTGAAGACAACGAAAAAGAAGACGTCCTCACATTATTCGACTATCTACCAAGACCAACTGCCTCATCTAAGGACATTTATGATCTCATGCTAGAATGCTGGCGACGAGAAGATTTCGAGAGACCCACATTCCGAGAGATATCGCTCTTTTTGCAAAGGAAAAATCTTGGTTATGCACCAACCTCTTGATATTAGGATTTACTCACTGCAAAATACAAAGGTACTTATGATAAAATTCTTTACAAATAAAAGAGAGAGAGAGAGAGAGAAAAACAATAGAGAAAGAAATGGAACTCGAGAAATCTTAAGAATTTCTGCTTCTCCTGATTTCTTGATATAAAAATAAGAAAAGTGTCAAGACCCATAAACTCAGGACTGATAAAAATTATTTATATAAAATATATATATTCGACTAGCGAATATTTTATAGTGTTGACAATTTAAGAAATTAGGAAGGAAATTTTTTCAGAATATTGTCACACGAAATTTGAAATTGTTAAATTTAGTCGAAGATATATGTCTGTCAATTCTAAAGTATTAACTAAAATTTTCAAAATTATGCGATTTTTTCAAAATTACGCAAATTTGTTTATCAATTTCCTTTAGTTATTTAAGCATTTGTTTTTGACATGAATTTTAGTTGATATTTATGAAAAATAGAAGTAGAAAAGTGAGTGGAAATTTTATTGACTTCTTTTTGTGAAGTTTAAGGAAAGGAATGAAAATTTTTTACTTTGACTTTCACTTGTTATTTTCACTTTTTAGAATGTGGAAATAAAAGTTGGAGTGAAAGATAAATTTTTCCATATTTTTATCGCACATCTGAAACACTCAATGATCGTAGTGAATTTGCTAAATACTATGGCTATGACACATCATAATTGTAACTCTCTATAATAGGTGGGATCAATGAAACTATTAGATTAATATTTGTAAATATTATAGTTGTATATGGTAGAAATCGTTATTGCTGCGTATTAATAATATTAGTAATAATAATAATAGTGAAAATAATTATAATTATAAATATAACTATAATTGTAATAGTAACATTAATAATAATAATATAATAATAATATTAATATTATTAATATTACCAATAATAATATATACATCCAGAAAAAAAATGTATTTCAAGTTTAGACAAATTTTTATTAGTGACAAACTAAATTTTGGTATAAACTAAATTTTATTTCTTATAAAAAAGAAAGTAAATTTTGTTTGTTACAAAATAAATTTTAATTGGAAACTAAATTTTGTTTGCTACAAACTAAATTTTATTTTTTAGAAAACAAATTAGATTTTGTTTGTTAAAAACTAAATTTTATTCGTTCTAAAAAAACTTTAATTAGAAACTAAATTTTATTTTAAACTAAATTTTATTTCTTGCAAACTAAATTTTTTTTCTTACAAAACAAAATAGATTTTTTTTGTTTCCAACTAAATTTTATTGTAAAGTAGATTTTTTTTGTTTCCAACTAAATTTTATTGTAAAGTAAATTTTTTTTGTTACAAACTAAATTTTATTCTTTACAAAACAAAGAAAAAGTTTTTTTGTTATAAATTAAATTTTATTTCTTACAAGGAAAAATAGATTTTATTTGTTACCAAATAAATTTTAATTAGAAACTAAATTTTGTTTTAAACTAATTTTTAATTCAAAACTAAATTGTGTTTGCTACAAACTAAATTTTATTTTTTACAAAACAAATTAGATTTTGTTTGTTAAAAACTAAATTTTATTCGTTCTAAAAAAGCTTTAATTAGAAACTAAATTTTGTTTGTTACAAGCTAAATATTATTTCTTACAAAACAAAGTACATTTTTTTGTTATAAACTAAATTTTATTACAAAACAAAACAAATTTCATTTTGTATAAACTGAATTTTGTTTCTTACTTACTAAATTTTATTTTGTTCAAACTAGCAAACATTATTGAGATTTAATAAATTTAATTTAATGGAAATACTTTATTCAGTTCAGAGAAACTCTACTGTCATTTTAATAAATTTTATTTTGTTTAAAGAATAATTTTATTGTTAAACAAACTTTATTGAAGTTTAATACTATTTCTATTAAAAATCAATTTTACTTTATTCAACTAAATTTTATTTACTTTATTAAACGAAATACAATTTATGTAAAATAAATTGTATTTTATTTAAATATTAAAATTGAATTAAATAAATATTATTTGTATTATAAATAAATGTTATTTCGTTCAACTAAATTTTATTATAAGCAAACTTTATTTAATTCAAATTATTTTGTATTTTAGTTAAAAATAAGATATTTTTTTATAAAAATTTGCTCCGTTTAATTAATATTTATTTGAATTAAATGAATCTTCTATTTGTGTTAAATAAATTTTATTTAGTTTTTATAAATTTTGTATGATTCAAATAAATTTTATTTGATACAAATAAACTTTATTTAGTTCAAATAAATTTTATTTGTTTCAAACAAAAAAATATTTGTATTAAAAATATTTTATTTAATTCAAACTAATTGTATTTTAGTTGTTTCAAACAAACTTCACTTAAAGTAAATTAATTAATTTCAAGTTAATTATATTTTATGCAAATAATCGTGACATATTTTGAATAAAAAATATATCTGGTTGTGTATATAATCAATAATGTAATAGTAATAATATTAATAGTAAAAATAATAATCTTAATAATAATTGTATAGTAATAGTAAAATTAATTCTAATTTTAACGAATAGGAATAAAGATAAAAATAAGAATATTATTATTAATTATAGTATTAATTAATATTATTATTGTAATATGAATATTAGTTATAATGTTGATATTAATTGTAATATTAAAATTAATTATGATAATAATATTAATGTTGAATATTAATAATTATTATTTATTATTATTTATTAATAATTAGTAATAAATGTTAATATTAATTACAATATTAATAATGCTTATGATAATAATATTAAGTTACAATATAAATATTAATTGTTATAATAATATTACGTTACAATATAAATATTAATTATAATAATAATGTTAATCATAAATAACAATAGGTACATGACTTTCGTTGGTAACGTGACTGATAACGTGAATTATTTTTCAAGATGCAATTTAGTGAATAAATAGATCAAAGATCATTTGAAAACTAACGAATGGCTGACATATCGGATATAGATTATTTTTTAAAGCGATTACAACTGTCACTCTTGCGATGCTCTATTTATTACAAAATATGACAGTGACACTCGAAGTTAAACGAACAAAAAAAAAGACTTTGAATTTATATATATAAAAAAATATATATATTGAAAGCATATACAAGTAGCATAAATACGATAGTAATTAATTAATTAAAAAACTAATTAATTAATTAATCGATTTAAATGAGAAAAAAAATGTTACCGTTATTGCATTAAAATACTATTTATATATAAATAAAAAAAAATTGACGTAAAATCGCTATTCAAGGAATAGAAATTAATTAGCGAATTAGCCGTACGTTATTTATACAGAGTAAGCATAACGCTGCCTTTGGCTATATTGTTGCCCCTATTGCTAACAAGTAATTTTACTTGTTTACTGAATATGTGATAATTTATAAATCAATGTACCTATACCTATATGTACTATATCTGTCGATTCAATTATTGTAGTGGAAGAATTTATTTGCATTTCCTGATGGTATTTTATTTTCTCCTCTCAATTAATTAATAGTAAAGTTTAATTGAATTCAAATTCAATTTAATTGACTTAAATAAAAATTAATTTATAATTAATTTAAATTAGTGAGAAATTTATTGATTTTATTTTTAAATTAGTTAACCTAAAATCCAATGGAAAACGTTTGCCTATAAAAAACTATTTTTTCATATATATAAAAATAAGTTTATAAATTATTTATCTAAACTTTTTGAAACAAATCTTGAATAATAATTTTAATCTGTTTAGCTAAAAATCTTTTTTAAAGATTAAACAATTTTAATTTAAAAAGGAAATTAGTTTAGAGTATTTTTTAAAAAATTTTTTGAATTTTTTTTTCAACAATAGTTTCTTTATTCGCCTATCGCGATTAAATTTGAAGTCTATCATCATCATCATCATCAATATGCAAATTTTTCTTCCAGCAATCTTTGTATTAATCCAATAATCTACATCTCACTCTTGCGTGCCTCTTTCCAGTAAATAATTACATCATATCGTGTACAATGTAAATTATTTAAATATTTCCACTTTTCGTCGAAAAGCGATTTTTAATATTTCTGTAATTATTTTTTATTTTATTTTAATGCTTCTGTAAAATTTATACATTTTTTTAAATCATTATAATGAAATTCTTTTATAATGATTTTAATTTATTTAATTTACTCAAAATAATTATTAAATTTTTAACAGTAAAAATTCGAAACAAAAACATTGTTCAAAAGTGATAATTATTAATTTAAACAAAATTTATTTTTATTACGAATTACATTTTTAAAAATTGTAATTTAATTTTCTTTGATTCAAAAAAAATTTATTTGATTAAAAGGAAAATATCTTTGATTTATATTTTTTTATTTTTCTTAAAAAATTTTTTAAGTGCAAATAATGAAAAAAATCTAAATTTATAAAATTCATGAAAAAATATTGAAAATATTTAAATAAATTTGTATTACTTTATCATTTTAAAAGTCTATACATACGATATCGTATAATATACTAATAACAATGAAAACTATTTCAAAGAAAAAATGTGAAGAAAAAATAAAATAAAAAATGATTGTGAAATATTATTGTAAATGAAATCTTCGCTTTATCTCTATATATATTGTACTAATAATAATTATATTGTATTTAATTCATTTTAAAAATGAACGCTCTGCGATTAAGTTATTATTTTTTTATTATACATATCTAAACGTAAGAAAAAAAAATGTATTTTTCACATTCGCCGCTTTAAAATTGTAGAATGAACAAATTTTCACTGCGTAAATTTGTAAGTTTATAGATTTTAGATGTAGAAAAAAAATTTTCTCTCCTGCAAAAAAAAATTATTACATTTTTGCAGACTTGAGTTTATGGAAAGGAATTTCTTTTTCATTTCAAAGAAAAAGCGTAATTTCCGTTTTTCTTGCACAAAAATTCTATTTTAATATTTGAATGTTGATGATTCAAATTGTAAATGATTCAAAATTTATTTATAATTATAAACAAATAATGTTAATTATAAATGAGTCTTTACAATGATTATTACAAATGGTTTTTACAATTTTTATAAGTAATTTTTACAAACAGTTAAAATTATTATTATAAATAGTTACAATAATTAGTATAAATAATTATTTAAATTAATTATTATAAATAATTTTTCACCCAGAAAAAAGTTTTTATTGATTTAAAGAAATCATTTGCTTGACTTGTTTCTTCGATTGGAAATTAATTTTTCTTTGATTGTTAAGAATTTTTCTAAACATTATTTGTAATAATTATTGTAAAATCGTATTATCGTCTATGATAATTTATTATGATTATAAAGAAATTTTTAATTATTTACAATTAATATTTTATTAATTAATCATATAAATATGAAATCAATCGCTATTATTGCAATATATTTATAATTTATTTACAAATGTTTCCTAATTATGAATTAATTATAAATTTATAATTATAAATTATTTAAGTAATTTAATATAATCATAAATTTTTAATAATTTATAATTATAACTATACAGAAATAACATTAAATTATTTCCATTTTAATTTTTTTAATATCCCATCAGTTGGTGAGCTCTTTGATAGTTCCCAAAATGTACTAGAGAAATTTAGAAACTAAAATTATAAATCATTCCCCTAAAGCTCTTATTGTAGTTTTATGAATAAAAAATGTAACTGACAATCACGCTTAAATCTTAAAGACTGAATTTTTTTTTCATATTCAACATTAATGGTTACACGCTATTCTAATCGAAAATACGAAAAGTATTTTAAAAAATCTTTTACTTTTGGTAGTTTTTGTTTTTCTTTTGCTAAATAAAAATTAGAAAATCATATACAGAAAAAAGTCATATCATCTCTTTTTTCAAAATTAAAATTTTA